TGAATGTTGAATAGTGGCTTAAGATACAACAAGATATAACATAGCTTTAATGCAACTATTAAAATTGTATAAAGTAAATTTCTTGTAGCTGTAATTCAAGAAATGTATGCTCACGATTCATGTCCGAAAAGCTCATTAATGCCAAGAATAAATCTTGATGTCGGCTGTTGATTCTTATCTTTTTGAACTGCTTCACCTCATAAAACTAGCCTTACCACATGCATCATGGTTTAGTTTGTACTTCTACACTTCTGCTGCCAAGCAAAGCCAGACATTTATTCTGTGTGGGTGATGTTGCGTAGTTGCTGATAACACCGCTATTATTTTGAAATAGTGCTGGTGATAACATTTTCCTTATTTGATGACAGTATTACTAGTATCAAAGACATCAGCATCGGTGGACGCTGCGTTTGTCACGGGCATGCACAGGTGTGTGGTGGGGGGCGGAACCAGACAACCCAAACAGGTTTGTAACGCTCTTCATCTTAAGCAATGCTATACATGTTTGACACAGTACATTTGTGGGGTTGATGCATTTTTCATCACTCATTAATTAAACAAGACTAAACTGGAAAGGTTCACTTTGTAGGTAACTTTAATCAGGAAATCCATTTTCATGTGTTTATTCAATAACATAGCTTAATAGCCATTTTGTACAATGGCCTCATGTCTATAACCAATGTACTGAGATGACATGATGCTAAAAATGAAGAGGACCACAGATATGCTGCCACATCGAGTGATCTGACAGTGAACTGTTTCTGAGGGAGGACAATTACCTCATATTTTTATACTCTGACATCACCATTGTAAAGGGCAGCAGATTATTCTAGTTTTTATACTAATAATCAAGCTACTATGTATAACGTGAAAAGTATGTCTTGGAGTGGCCGAGAATTATATCCGGACTCTACAGTTCCCCTGAGAGTTGGAGCAATTTAGCCTCTTTCAGCTTATGTTTTGGTTTTTACAGCTCCCCGCCAGCTTTACTGTTCTGGTTCTGTCTCGCTATTCATCAGTGTGTTTTCAAGTGCTGCAAGAATCAGGAAAAAAAAATCAGGAAAAGCTCTGATACACTACTTACCCAGAACCAAACGACAGGCAGACAAAGTTAGCACTAGCTAGCTAGCAGCTAAAGAGCTAGAGATATTTCCCTCAGGAGTTGGTTGAGACCAAACAGAGCTAAAAGTGGACTGAATATTTGACTATTGGGTTGGCTTGCCTGAAACATGATTCCAAATGAATGCAGATGTCGATCTGTGTCTGCTGTATAAATAGGCAGTTGTTTGCTGACATGTTTACCATAACAACTAAATAAGGTAATAATGTGTTCAGAGCTTGTCTTGCTGCCCGAGTGGTATATAGTCTGTTAATGCAGGTTTAAAGAAAGTTCTGGGCTGCAAATGAAATTCTGAGCATCACTAAATCCATGTCCTCATCTCCTGTCTGTAGACTCCAGTGTGAGTGCCAGCACAACACCTGCGGTGAGTCATGTGACCACTGCTGCCCAGGCTTTAACCAAAAGCCATGGCGTGCTGCAACTGTTGACAGCCCCAATGAGTGTCATCGTAAGTGTTCATGTATAATGATTCATTCAATGTGTAAACAAAACCTCACTCTGAGCCTGCCCATGATGTTGGCTCCTTGAATTACGACCCCCAGAGTGGACTGAAGTGTCCTCTTGCCTCTGATAGTTAAGCTCTGTTGTGGATGCCCTGATATGGTATTGTAGAGAGCCTCAGTGAAGAGTTGAGAGGACATTCCTCTTATGGTATGTGTGATGAACAGCACAGTGCACAACTATCACCAGGATAACTGCTCTTTGTCAGCTAAGCTAGCTAGTCAGCTGGCTAGCCAGGCCTGCACCAGCCCATCGGATAGTCCCCCATGCCATCTTATTGGTGAGCCATCCAGTCTGCCAGCAGAGCCTATGTCAACTGGAATCTAATTGCTTTGGACTGTTGACAAATTTTTCCTTCATGAAACATGACCTTGTAGCAGCCACAAAAGCAGAGAGAGAAAGATGAAGGCTGGTAATCCAATCAGTGTTCTCATGCAACTGAGATGTACCCTAACCATTCATAAACATTAATAAGGCACAGGGGGTGGTATACAGGAAGAAGATGCGCCATCTTGTTTAGTTTGGATTTTATAGTTTCTCTTTATTCTTAACAACCAGACTTTACTCGTAGGAAAATGAGTAGCTTAAAGGTGCTTAAATACAGAGAGCGGAGTCAGAGGTAATTTGCTGAGGCATACAAAATAATTCTGTGTGTGTGTGTGTGTCTTGGGGGTTTCCTCTTCAGCCTGCCAGTGTTTCTCCCATGCCTTTGACTGTTATTACGACCCAGAGGTAGAAAAGAGGGGAGCAAGTTTGGACACCTTCGGCAGGTACGATGGAGGAGGAGTGTGTATCAACTGCCAGGTAAGAAATGCAATGTCAAGTCTAAACTGATTCCTGTGTGTGAATGTGTAAAGTCACAGGGGAGGAGGAGGGTATAAAAAAAATGAAAAAAAAAATGAATTCCAAGTTATCTGTGCATATCTTTATGGAGTCGTCTATTAGCATTTGGGAACGGGTTTGTGAGGCCAACACAAACCTTTCACATTAACACACTTTCCTCTTACCACTCAGAGAATTTCATCGTCTTTTTGTCCAAAAAAAAATTGTATTAAGTTTTTTTGGTTTATATATCATCCCTCTGTAATATGATACTGATGCAGAGAGTACATGTAAGCGTTGTGTCCACTCACGTGCATCAGTATGCATTTGAAGATATTCAACTTTACAGAGAAAGAAAGAGGACACATATACGGACATCTTCTGTTGTATTCTTCCTGTTCAATTATGTAGCAGTTATGGCTCACACATTATTTCTGTGTTCTTCTGTAGCACAACACTGCTGGAGTGAACTGTGAGCGATGCCTTGAAGGTTTCTATAGACCATATGGAGTACCTCCTGAGTCTCCCACTGGATGCATACGTGAGTTGCGTTTTCTTTGTTGTCCCTTGATTTACCGCAACACTGTCACATTGTCATTTGTCCCTTTTTAAACGACTTTGCTTAGTAAGGTATGCAGGAGTGTTTGTATCTCAGACTTGATAGCCGTGGCTGGCTTGAGTATGTTTTATTTTTTGTTTTGGTATTTTTCCGCGTTCCTGTTTTATTTGGAGGTTGGCAGAAGTGCTGCAGTCTGATTTCATGCTGTATCTCTAGACGTGAGGTAGTAGAAATTATATTAGACATATTACACAGTTGAAATGCCTATTAAGTAAAGTCGAGTGATGTGTGTAAGACATTATTGCAAACATTTAGATGTTGAATAGATCCAAGTGAGTTTCAGCAGCCACTTTAATTAATGCAATAAAAACATATTACAAAACTGTTACTTGTTTGGTTTGAACCATCTGTCAAATTACCAGGATGCACCACTAGATAAATAATAAAAACTGAATTTGACCTTCATTATGTATGACGGACAAGTGAAGCCAAAACAGTGTTATATTCAAAGAGAGGCATCAGTGTCTTGTTTGAAACGGACACAAATGGCACCACTGGCACCACCGCATGTATTATTGCTAAACTGGGCTCCGCTCTTGTTTACGTTACTTTAATGGTCCATGGCTGTCCCTCGCTGTATAAATAGCTGCCAGTTGTGTTTGGACATAAGAAAGTAGTGGAATTAAACTGGTTGCCCTCAGCGCTTTGAAAAGTAAATCATAAAATCCACAAACTAAATTATGTGAGCTTAGCAGAGGAGTCAGTAAAGGTTCAGTAATCATTATTTGCTTCTTAGATCTGTCATTTTGAGAGGATGGATGGCTGGAAGCTTTCTTTACTTGTTACTGATATCTTTTGTTATGTACAGTAAATGTCTTTTTCCTCACAATCAAAAATTCTGTGCTGTGTATGTGTATGCATGCCCATGTTAAAAAAACATGTGACCCCCACCAGCCTGCAGATGTGATGAAAGGACTACAGTTGGCTGTGAAATGGGCTCTGGAAGGTGTATCTGCAACCCACAATTTGCCGGAGAAAACTGTGATCGCTGTGCTGACGGATACTATTACTACCCTCAGTGCATTCGTAAGTTTAGTTTTTTCTTGTCACACACTGGATACCCAGTTTACCTAACGGGGGGGTGGATAAACATAAAGGTGAATGTGCTAAAGATGCAATTCTGGTGTGCAAATCCTATAAGTCATATGACATGAATCACATCTGTGATAGCTGCAAGTAAAGGCACAGTCAAAAAGGAAGGTGCAGTTAACCATACCCGTGTCTTTTTGAAACTTGGATAAGAGAGAAACCTTTATTATTTCATAAAGTTGTGTGTATGTTTTAGGAAGCTCACTGTGTCAATGTACAGTGGGTACGGAAAGTATTCAGACCCCTTTAAATTTTTCACTCTTTGTTTCATTGCAGCCATTTTCCAAAAATCAAAAAAGTTCATTTTATTTCTCAGTAATGTACACTCAGCACCCCATCTTGACAGAAAAAAACTGAAATGTAGAAATTTTTGCAAATTTATTAAAAAAATATCACATGGTCATAAGTATTCAGACCCTTTGCCGTGACACTCATATTTAACTCAGGTGCTGTCTATTTCTTCTGATCATCCTTGAGAGGTTCTACACCTTCATTTGAGTCCAGCTGTGTTTGATTATACTGATTGGACTTGATTAGGAAAGCCACACACCTGTCTATATAAGACCTTACAGCTCACAGTGCATGTCAGAGCAAATGAGAATCATGAGGTCAAAGGAACTGCCTGAAGAGCTCAGAGACAGAATTGTGGCAAGGCACAGATCTGGCCAAGGTTACAAAAAAATTTCTGCTGCACTTAAGGTTCCTAAGAGCACAGTGGCCTCCATAATCCTCATATGGAAGACGTTTGGGACGACCAGAACCCTTCCTAGAGCTGGCCGTCCGGCCAAACTGAGCTATCGGGGGAGAAGAGCCTTGGTGAGAGAGGTAAAGAAGAACCCAAAGGTCACTGTGGCTGAGCTCCAGAGATGCAGTCGGGAGATGGGAGAAAGTTGTAGTAAGTCAACCATCACTGCAGCAATCCACCAGTCGGGGCTTTATGGCAGAGTGGCCGACGGAAGACTCTCCTCAGTGCAAGACACATGAAAGCCCGCATGGAGTTTGCTAAAAAACACCTGAAGGACTCCAAGATGGTGATAAATAAGATCCTCTGGTCTGATGAGACCAAGATGGAACTTTTTGGCCTTAATTCTAAGCGGTATGTGTGGAGAAAACCAGGCACTGCTCATCACCTGTCCAATACAGGCTCAACAGTGAAGCACGGTGGTGGCAGCATCATGC